ATCATGACCTGAGCCAAAGTTGGATGCTCAACCGACTCAGCCACTCAGTCGCCCCAGATGAGATTAATTTTAACAGTTTATTTTATCTACCTCATATACTCCAAATCTTACTTTAACACATTATCCAAACAGATAGATGTGGTATTTTATGTTATGCCTTTCTCTCTCTGTTTTCTCTCTCTCTCTTTTCTTAATGTTTACTGCAATTGTATTTTTTTTGTTAATGTTCACTTACTTAAAAACATTTTTTTTTTTTGACATTTATTTATTTTTGAGAGACAGAGCGTGAGCAGGGGAGGGACAAAGAGAGAGGGAGACACAGAATCTGAAGCAGGCTCTAGGCTCCTAGTTGTCATCACAGAGCCCGACGCAGGGCTTGAACTCACGAACCGTGAGATCATGAGATCATGACCTGAGCCGAAGTCCAATGCTTAACCGACTGAGCCACCCACGTGCCCCAGTGTTTACTTATTTTGAAAGATAGAGAAATTGTGTGTGTGAGCAGGGGAGGGGCAGGGGCAGGGGGTGGGGGGAAAGAATCCCAAGGAGGCTCCACACTGACAGCTTGAAGCCATGAATCTCAAAATCGTGACCTGAGCCAAAACCAAGAGTCAGGTCCTCAACCGACTAAGCCACCCAGGCACCCCCGCTCTTTTTCTTTCCCTTTGTTTTTTTTTTTTTTTTTTTAAATGATGTTCTGTAAATCCAGGGTGTGTTTCACCCTTGCAGCATCTCTTAGTTTGGTCGTGTTACAGGGGCTCCGTAGCCACAAGTAGCTGGACAGTGAGTGCAGCTTTCAACGCACAGATGCCCTTGTGGCTGTGTAGTGAGTGCCATAGCAGGTGCACATCCAGAATGCTGAGGGGACCTGGGCTGGGAACCATGGGACCTTCTGCCTGGAGCTGCTAGGAAGGCTTGGGGAGGAGGAGGAAATGACCGACCTCGGGGGTGGAAAATGCGCTGCCTTCTCTCCTGCTGGGGGCATCTGCTCACCATCTGAATCGCCCTGCAGGCAGCCGAGGCCGTGGCAGGGGCTACCGGGGCCGAGGCAGCCGCGGAGGATCTCGAGGCCGAGGCATGGGCAGGGGCAGCCGTGGAAGGGGCAGGGGCTCCGTGGGAGACCACCCGGAGGACGAAGAAGACTTCTACGAGGAAGAGATGGAAGTAAGCTCTCCTCCAGTCCCGGGAGAAAGTGGGGGGCTGGTGGGCGCTTTTGGGGGAAACCTTGGAAACAGTGGAAGGAAAGCATCGGGTGGCAGTTCTCTGTGTTTCCACATTCGTTCTTATTTCGGAATAGAGGAAACCTTCACGTGGTTCAAAATTGGAAAGGTACCAAAGCTGTGAAAACCTCTCCCTACTACTGCTGCCCCCGGCAGCTTAGTTCCCATCCCTGGAGACAAGTTTCCTGAGTGCCTTCTGGAAACGTTTGATGCCTTTGCAGTCAGGTGCTTGTTTATTCACGCCCCCCTACACACACACGCACACAGCTTCCACATTCATTGTTATATCCCTGCCCGAGACCTTTCCCTGGTGGTCCGTTGTTACAGCCACAGCTGTCTTGTGTAGGAGGAGCCCTGTGGGATTTACCTGGGGGGAGGGGAGAGGAGTTGTAGGGGTGAAGACAGTACCAGAGGTCAGACACCCTCCTCCACCTTAGGCTGTCGCATGTAAGAGGGGGCATAAGCAGGTGGCCTTGGGTGGGTCATCTGCCCTTCTGAATCTGGCGTTCAGCCAAATAAAAAGGCGTAAGGGGACAGAGAGCACAGTTAGGGACAGTGCTCGTTGTTCCCTGCACGCCACCTGCTTCTCTCCTCCTTTCTGGAACCCTAGTATGGAGAAAGTGAGGAGCCGATGGGAGATGAGGACTACGACGAGTACTCCAAGGAACTGAGCCAGTACCGCCGGTCCAAAGATGGCCGAGGACGAGGTGGGCAGGGGGCCCAGGAGGTGACGGGTCGGCGGGGCTCCTTCCGGCAGCTGCTGCCGGACCGGGATCCTGGGGAGAGGCAGCAGGTGAACGCCATCTCTCTCCCCTGCAGGGTTAAATCGAGGCCGTGGCCGGGGCTCCCGAGGTCGAGGGAAAGGGATGGGCCGGGGTCGCGGCCGAGGTGGCAGCCGAGGAGGGATGAACAAGGGCGGAATGAATGACGACGAAGACTTCTATGACGAGGACATGGGCGTGAGTTGACCCTTCATTCAGATCCGAGATACTTAGCCGAGGCCCCCTTCTCGGGCTTTTCCTTTTCTTGAACAAGTTGGCCTCTGAGGCCTGTTCATCCTCCTGCTCCCGTCCGCTCTTCTCCATGGGACAGATGAGCTCTCGTCAACTCTCATGGTGGGTGTGCTGCTGGTGAGACCCTCTGTTTTTAAAACCACATCTCTGTAGCACCTGCATCTCCGAGGTGTGGAAGGTTCTAGGTGACCCATCCAGGCAGCCTGGAGAGTTTGCCCTCTGGGAGGTGGATGCGTTCCTGCACAGCTGTGTGGTGCCCTTCGGCTGCCCACAGCTCCGAGTGGCAGAACTTCTGTCTGTGCCAGCGCCCCCTGCCTTGGGGCTCACACCCCGCACGGCCATGACACTGCTCTTGTTACGAGAAGACGCTTCTGTCGAGGGAATGCTCGTGCCCACCAGCCGACTTCTGTCACTCCCTCGGAACCCGCCTCCCCCAGCCTGCGTTGTCCCTCCAACCCTTCCTTTTCACTCCCCTTTATGCTCACACTCTGTGTTCCTGACAGGATGGTGGCGGGAGCTACCGGAGGAGTGACCATGACAAGCCCCACCAGCAGTCCGACAAGAAAGGCAAAGTCATCTGCAAATACTTCGTGGAGGGGCGGTGTACGTGGGTAAGGGGCCAGTTACAGTGCCTGGCTGCCGGAGCAAGGCAGCCACCTCACGGAGGATGCTCAGGCCTCTGGGAATGTTCTAGAAGCCACACTAATTGGGGGCGGTGGCCGGGTAAGGGTGGAAGTGATCACCTACAAGAGATGCTGGGGAAGACGCTCTTGCAGAGATGTAACGTGCTCTGGTGAAGTTACTGGACTTTAGCGTTGGAAAGGGAATTTGTTACGACCTCTAGATAAAAAGGCAGGTGGGGTGAAGCAGGCCAGCCTTGAATTTCACAGCAGAGTTCAATACCAGAAGGTGGGCCGATGACTGCAGAGCTCTGAGGGTGTAACCCGGTGTGAGTGCCGCCAGCCTTGTATTCAAGTGCGATGGCAGTGGACAGACAACGGCACACACATGCCCAGGAAATGCCGCACCGCATGATAAGTCTTAGGAAAAACTGTGCATTTCGAACAAATACGAACAAATGCGTACACGTGTAAAAAACGCTCTGTGTTACAGTTTCGATTCATATTATTTTTAGAAGCTTGTAATACATCCAACGAAAAATGAGTAGCTACTCCTGAGAGTAAGGGGAAACAGCCATAGGACAATTTCTATATTTTGTTCACCCGGGTGGTGTTCTGAGTGTGTCTGTGGATAATGGAAAATCAAGCCCCACTAGCTTAAACGCTCAGACATTGTTCCTCTGAGGTGAGGGATGTTGGTGCCCTGGTCAGTGGCACCCTGGGGAACTCAAGCTCCTTCTTCCTTCCTACTTTTAAGAATATCCGCCATCTTTGCCGGTCCCACAACGGCTGCTGTGGCTCCGGGCGTCCCATCTAAGGGCTGAGAGGAAAGATGGGTGAAGGGGTTTGATTTTTCTTTTAATTGAAGCAGTATTGTCCTCCCTCGGGGACGTTGGCTTCTATTTCATCGGCCACAGTATCTCCACACGAGCCTGGAGAATGTGTTTGTAGCCGGGCACGTTCTTCCCAAACAAAACGGAGGTTGCGTTAGGAAGGAAGAAGCGTGGCCGTCATGCAGCAAATGGTGAAAAATAGTGGCTGCAGGGAGGGAGAGGGAGAATAAGAACAAAGCGGTGCGGGGCAGCGGAGCGGAGCCTGGATGAACGGGGACGTGGGGCGGGGAGGCAGGGCCCGAGCGAAGGGAGCACAGCTTTGTCAGAACTTTCAAGGTGGTGGGAAGCCACGTCGTGAGCCCTCCCTGCCCTGTTGGGGGGGGCGGGGGATGTGTCCCTGCCATTGGTCCCTCCATGCTTCAGCGGCGACAGAGGAGGACTTCCCGTTGCAGGTGGGCGTCGGCGAGGGCTTAGCGTGGCACCCCCTTAACCTTTTCCCGCCTCTCTTCCAGGGAGACCACTGTAATTTTAGCCACGACATCGAGCTACCAAAGAAGCGCGAGCTGTGCAAATTTTACATCACCGGCTTTTGTGCCAGAGCCGAGAACTGCCCCTACATGCACGATATCCTTTGGCGCTCACGCGTGACCTGCCGCAGCGTGCAGGACCTCCCCCGTCCTCCCCGGTGACGGCGGCTGGCCCGCGCTGGCCCTCCGCGCCTGCGCTCCGTCCGCCTCTCCGGGCGACCCCTCGCGGTCTGTCGCGTGGCAGAGGTGCCGTCCCTGTCCTGCAGACGAGTGAACTGACCACTCACGCGTCTGCTCTCTTTACGGGTACCCTCAAGGCTGTTTGTAGCGCCCTTGTCTGTTCCCTTCCTGAGACTTCCCCAGTTGGCCGTGTGGCCTTGGGCAAATCCTCGACCTGAATCATTCCCGGGGAGTCAGGACCTGCGGACGCGGCCCCGAGGCCAGCGTGGTGCGGGCAGGAAGCCCTCCGGAGGGAGAGTCCTGAGAAAACGGGCTCTTGTTGGGTCTGCTGCGAGCACGTCATGCAGCCCCCGAGCGGGTCACTTCACCTCTCTGGGTGTCCGTTTCCCCATCTCCAAGACAGAAGGGGCTGGATTCCGTGCTCGGGTGGGTTCTGTGACACGATACGTTTGCCTTAACGTGCCCGTGAACGTGATTTCCCATGTAAGTTGTACCACACGACGGGGAACTGCATCAACGGGGACGACTGCATGTTCTCCCACGACCCCCTGACCGAGGAGACGAGAGAGCTCTTGGATAAGGTAACGTTTGGGGGTAATGTGGGGCCACAGCTGCCACTGTGGTGTGCAACCAGGAGGTGCGCCTCCCCTTGACCTGGAGCGTCCGTCTGGCTTCTGTGCGGGACCAGAATTCCCACTTGCCTTGATCTGGAGCTGCCGTCTGAGGGAGGGAACGGGGCTGTTTTCTCTGCGGGGAGAACTGAGGTGCTCTCGCGTGTGTCTTCTCTCCAGCCAGGGCGGTTTTCGTGGCGGGGCGGCAGGGGGTGGGGGGGGGCAGCG